TTCTTTAATTTATTTTTTTAATTATAATTTAATTTAAGTTTAATAACGAAATAATTTATTATTGGTTTAATAATATAACATTTTCTAAAGATAATAATTAAGTATTCTGTTAGAACTCAATAATTATCCTAATTATATTTAAGATTTTTTATATTTAAAATAAGATATTTATCTTGTATTTGATTATGTTTATCTGCAGTTAGTTACATGAATTCAGATAATAAGTTGTACTTACACACAATCTACTTGAAATGTTAAGTTTTAAGTAATATAAATTAATAAACAATACTTTACGCATAAAAAATAGGTTTTAAAAGTTTTTGTCAAATGTTTTATAATATAATATAGATCATATAAATAACGAAATACCGTTTAATACAGGGATTATATGTTAATTTCCATTTAAAAAGAAATGGGAAAATTGACATAACAACAATAAACGGTCTCATTCTCTCCAAATGGAAATTGGAGTGGAGTATAAGCAAATAAACTCATTCCTTTCATCATAATTACGTCTATTCCTAACCTAATTTCCCCTTAACAAACTTCACTTTCATTCTGACTGACGTGTGTCATGTTATATTTTATTTTTTTACGCGGTTTCAACGTTTTCGAATAGGTCAACATCGTCTGGCTCGGTCTCGTCCAGGACCATAATTATTTGATAAGAAGTTTCATCTTGATCTGGTCTTGTTCAAAAAGAGTTGGTATGACTTGTTTAAATATTTCTCAAAAGTCGAACTGGTTGGAACCATGGACGATTGGATGGGACCTAGTATCGTGGTTACGGTGACACGTGCCACTGTTTCATTAGTGTAAGAAAATTTAGTTCGTGAAAGGTGCAACTGTGTCGATTTGTTGTATGTCATCATATATATTTTGAAACTATAATAGAGTTGGTTTGCATGGTTTTATTTTATTTCGGACCCGAGTTTGAAACCCATTGGTATTATTTTCTTAGTTTTTAGCTTTTAATTTCATATTTATTATGTTTTTTGAAAAAAAAATTGTGATAAGAGATTTGAACACAAGACCTTACATATGAAAAGTAATGAACTAACCAACAAATCAATTATAGTATTGTAAAAAATATCTCGTTATTTGTTTTTTATAGTCAAATGGTGTCACCGTTTAAAAAAAAAAATCTGGGTCCGTCCCTGATCGGAAGTCGGAACCGACTTTTCTTGGTCTGGACTTCTAAAAAACCGGTCTTCAAAAAATAAAAATAAAAATTCACAGATATAAAAGTTATTTTACTTTACGATTTTATACTAAAAGTTGAAACGTTTTTGCTAATTATAAAAATGGGAGTGGAAATTGCCATCTACGGGTTCCCCTGCCGACTATATGCATTTGAATGCACAAGGGACCAGGGAATAACTTTATCAAATTTTTTATTATTTTTTTTAAATTATAATCGAGATTGATTCAGTCAAGACTCGAGTCGGATGGGTTCGCCTCGAACTCGACATAATAATGAGTCGAGTTGAGTTACACAATACTTGTCTCGAAAAACTCGTGAAATACTATTTTTTTATGTATAGTTAGTTTTTATAATATAATTTGTACAATATATCATGTAATTTTTTTTAAGTATATAATGTTTATATATGACAAATGCAACAAATAAACTCGCACATCATCTTTGAACCCTTGACCTTCTAGGAGGCTAAAGACTACGATATTGCTTGACCAAAGACCCTTTGATATAATGTAAAATTTTATTATCAATAAAAAGACAAATGTCATGTATATATTTTTAGATATTTGAACAAAATTTTACATTTTTTAACTATAAAAAATAATCAATTTTTTTTATTGAAATCATAATTAAGAAAAAGCAAAAAAAAAATTATAAAAGTATTGGTGAAATTATCCACATCAGTAGAGAGATGATAAAAGAACGAAGAATGAGCGAATGAAGCTTGTAACTTTGTCATTTTCATGATGGAATTTGAGGTACATCCCTCGAGTTGTATAAAGTATAAGAGATCATCTTTAAGTTTCATAATTGATAAGAGAAAGACCCTAAATTTCATAAATTTTAACGGATGTTCGAGCTCGAGTTCCGAGTTCAAGCTTGATTCGTGTTTGATTTTGAGATTGGTTCGAGTTTCAAACGAGTTTGAGTTTGGGAAATGGCTATCGAGTTCGAGTCGAGTATACTAATACTCGAACTGGACTCACATCATTTACACCCCCAGTCCAAAATGGATGAAAAAAATAAGGGAGACAGACAAAATTGGTAAAGTGGTAAATTACTAAACTACTCATGTCAAATTAAAACCCTAAAACCTTTTAAAAAAAATTCACCTGCCTACCTCACTCTTATTGATTTCATGTCCAATCTAGTCCCATCCATGTACCATACGCAAACTTCAAGAATATAAGATGTGTTAATGCAAAAGGTAACCTACAGGCTGCAACCTTACAAAACTAAGGGGGTGTTTGGGATTGCTTATAAAAACAACTTATTGACTTATTCTGGTGTGACACCGATAATAAACACTTTTGAGTGTTTGGATAAACAACTTATACGGTGCCAAACCGGTAATAAGAAACTTTTAAAGAAGTTAAACCCTTCTGACTTATAATAAGTTGATAAGTACTTTTGTAGAAAAGCATAAGTTGTTTCAAATAAGCAATCCCAAACACCCCCTAGTGAAACACACACATATTGGTATCATTCCATCAAAATAAGAAGCATATTATGCATGTCTTTTGGGATACATATGCATGCTTCAGTGTATGCACAAGATAACACAAGTGTGGTTCAAGATCAAAACAAATCCAGTTTATGTGGCTGCTAAAATCAGTTTGACAAGGCTACTATAGTATGATATACATAAAACGGTTCATGACGAAAGTCATCTTGATGACGCTATCCCCATTCGACACGCTATTCTCTCTTAAAACCTCCGTTAATGGCTAAAACTATTGGTCAACCTTAATCTTTCAGAAATAAAGCTAAAGATCGCACCAACATTCCCCGGGAACTTAGACCGTTGTGGTTGCAATGCTAAAAATGTTGAATCCCATAAGCTCTTACTTGTTCACAAAGATTTACGGGCAAGTTTACCTTCAATTTCTCTAACTTGACAACTTCTACAATTTGGTAACGAGTTACAAATGCAGCAAGTTTGTTACCAATTATCTATGATTAATCATGTTTCTTGATTATTAAATATACTAGTTACTGGCTATCAGGCTCACCAGGAAGTTGTCGACTCCAATTACCTGACCCAGCTTTGCGCTCCCCACGCTTCCTCTTGTTTTTCGGGATTTGGAATTCTGAGACCAGACATGATTTGAGCGTTGATTGGTCTTGAGGAACGGCATCTTTTGTTGCAGTGTCGTACTCCAGTGCTGGACCCAGATGGGTGCTTTCTTCTTCTTCACTCTTTACTACTTCCTGCTTTACTATGAGTTGGTGTTGGCAATTTCTTATGGTGTGCCTTTCTGCTTCAGTGGTTTCGTCGTGTACCAGCATATTGTCCAAAATCTGCATTAATTTTAATCAAATTGGAGTTAAATTCTATCTACCTTATGGTCTCTCCAGCAAAGATATTCAAATTTTCATCGAGTGATTTACACTGATAACATCATATCTTAAAGGATAAATAGTTTGTTTTAATCCAATAAATGGTACAAACTGAAAAGGAAGTAGCAAGTCAGCACAATATATGCTTAGAGCTTATCATTACAGACTCAAGATGCTTAGGGGTTGTTTGGTTGGCTTTCCATTAGTTCTATATGGATAAAGCTGTTTGTGCGGATTAATCTGTATATATAGATTGATAAGGTTTTGTTTGGGAGAGCTTTTTCATAGATGGAATGAGTGTGTTTTTAATTGGCAGGGGCAGGTTTGAGAAAAACTTGGCTTTCTGCATAAAGTTCCCCCTATAAGCTTACTGAATAAGCCACTTTATATATCAAGCCACTACCAAACACTCATGTATAGCTGACTGAATAAGCTGCGAATCTCATTAAGCTCATTAGGCTGCCAACAAACATGCCCGTAGTCTGAAATCGTGACAACAAAGATCACAATGTACTTCAAAATGTGTGCTGCACGCGATCAGAAAGAAAGGCACAGATTTTGGAAATAAATTCTGAGAAAAGAAAAGAGTCGAAGGAACTCAGCAAAATGACCCAAAAGCTTCAGAGAAATAGTTAATCCCCACAGGGTGTTGGCTGGACTTGCAGACTCAAGATATCCGTAAAACCTCCTCCTAAGTCCTAATTACCTTTATCCCAAATAAAATGAAAACATCGGCAGCATTTGCCCATGATTTTAAGTAGTGTTGTCTAAAAGGTAGCATATGCTGAATGAAAGAACTTTGCTAGTCTCCATATTTAGAAAACTTGCTGGTTTCAGCAGTGAGGTAACTTGCAAAATGTTGATCATGTTCAGATATATAAACAATAAATGCTTTGTCATACTAATCAGTAACAAACCCTAGGTTATAGCAGAGTTAGCATTAACAGGTAAAATGAGCATAAATGGCTTACATTTTCACATGAATCTCCAATTTGTGACTGATTCTGAGTAACATCAACAGATGATAGAGTCCCCACTGTGCTTTCAATTATATCAGGTATATGGAAACTCTCTCCATAGTTTGAAATGGCATGTTCAGACATTCCTAAACCTCCCATATCAAACTCCGAGGTATGCTGAGTCATAGCATATAAGCCTCCCACAGACACCGCATCTCCATTGCAAGTAGAGAAAGTAGGGCTACGAACAGAGCTTGTCTGTGCTTCAGAAGGACCAAGATGGTTTGAGTTCTCAGAGAGAGGAAACATTCGAGCATGTTCAGAGATTACCAAAGCAAGTTGAGCTTTTAATTTGTGAACCCGAGAGTGAGCAATATCAATCTTCCGAAAGATGTGCTCCATGTCATTATCTTTATCTTCAAGAAAGGACCCATTGTTATGAATGCCAAGACCAAGCACTTCTTGACTACTTGTATTTTGTTCTGTGTTACAAAAAGAAACAGAAGTTAGATATAAAATTTCCAAGAAATTATCACAACCACAGATAAATGAGGGAGGATTTGAGATAGTGGGGAATTGGAGAGACAAAGATAGAAGCATCAATTAAAGTTTAAAGGAGATGTAATGGCAGAAACATATTAAAGTCATAGCTAATATACCCTATATTGATAGCTACAGGCACGAAGTAACTAATAAACATTTTACTTAAATGTGCCCATCTAACAAGGAGGTTCTTAGAGACTCCTTTTTAAAACCTAAGTCAGAATCATGCATTTGTGCAGAAGAAAACATGAAACGTTATGCATAGACTGAAATGGTCTTGCAGGACCTTGCAGATGGACTTAGAACCTCAGTTAAATTATGCAGACTCATGATATTTGAACACAGAATTTTGACTTAAAGAGAGAAGATAACAGGATCTTGACAGAGAATTTTCATTCAGGAAATTTACCACACATTGTCCAGGAAGTAGAGGACACACTAGGAGAAATAAATGAGGCAGATATGGATCACGAATTTGAGTAGAGAAAGAGATAGGAGAACTGAGTGATACGAAAGCATGGTGATGGTATGAACTCCAGCTAGCCGAACGTGGAGACGATACCACCTATCACACTAGAGATAAAAAAGGGTTGAGATAGAGAGGAATTTGACAGGGATAGGTAGCAGAATCAAAATACAAGTTTGCGGAAGATAGGATCACAGAAAAAGGATGGATAAGAGAGGATTGGTGGGAAAACCTGATTTCATTCCATGTTTAAAAGATTGTTGATCTGTCTGATATAGCTGGCTAGAGGCTCTCTGACTAACTAATTACCAGATTTACTAGCATACACATGTCTAACAAAGCTGTTTCCATATACATCCTTAGAGACCTAGCTCAAAGTTACGAAGGAGTGAGTTATGCATCACATATAAGAAAAGAAATAAGACGAACTTCAAGTCTCCAAACATGTCTTTCAAAAATCTCTAATCAATTTCAATGACCATAAAACTTGAACAGTAAAACAATACCATGAGTAGAAACCATGTAGCCAGGGGTTCATGTCATAATCATGTCAACGAGACGTCTACAGATGAGTCAACTGTCAACTTTGGATTGTGTCATAAGTGGAAATGACTAGCTTGTTTACTAGATCATACTTTGGGCATCCAGTACATCAATAAATAAATAAAACCCATTAATCTTACCTGTTTGTCATAAATAAATTAACACCCTCTGATAATAACAGCCTAGAAGGGTTTTTCTGGGTGTAGGTGAAATGGCAAAGATGCCGCGTAATAATGTGTTCACTTGTCTTGTCATGTTATAAAGTTGATGCACTAAACCAAACCAAATGAACCCATTAAATCTCATACGGAGCAAGGTCCAGGGAGGGTAGGATGTAAGCAGCCCTTACCTCTACCCCAAGGAGTAGAGAGGTTGTTTCGTTATAAAGTTGATGCACTGTGGCATTCATTTACAAGGTTTGAGTTTGAAGTTGATGTTTGGACATGAGTGGTAGATCGGCAAGAGTTCTGATGCAACCATTTTCTACAATACCATGAACATGACACACTCATTAGCCTGCTTACCATGGCAAGATTCAAATAACTACATAACTCTGTGAAAGACATAGTAACCATAGTGTGTGGCACAATTGATCAACCCTAAACAAACAAAAAATAATCTATATGTAATAGTAACCATCACACAATTATGATATTACTTTAACTTACTAGTTTAATGTAAAAGAAAAGTGAATCCTAGATGAGTAACTAAGTGAAGAATGACTGACAACTAGAGAAAACTGAAGCACTTGTGAGAAAGAGATGTTAAGCTGCTCAAGTTGTCATATAAAGACTTCTCAAGAGGCAATAGAAGTTAAAACCTTACTCGTTGGGAATCAAAAGATGTGAAAGGTCAGTGATTTGGCCTTTTTCTTCTTTAGACTTTATGTTATTTACTGTCTTACAGCATTTTGATTGTATTGGTTCAACAAAAGAATTTATAGGCTCATTGTATGATAAAATTAGAAGGCCAAACTGTCTAATTTTCATTCCATAAAAGAAACACGAACTTTGAAGCTGTGTCATCGCACCACGCCAAAATCAGTATGCACATGCACCTTGCCTACATGGCGATTACTTCCCATCATCAATTGTTTTACTGAAATGTAGGTGGCACTGTGGCAGCCCATCCGACGACAAAGAAGAAGAACCCAATTACAATAAAGCTTTTCTGTAATTTCTGTTTGCAGTTTAGATAAGGTAAACATATTAGTTCCTTCTATAAATAGTATTTTATAAAACATAAAATTGAGGTTAATGCCAAATGAAAAGCAGAAGGCAATCTATGCATGCAGGATAACCACAACTAGTTTGAGATTTGTACACAACTTTATACAACTTTACCTGGTTCATCAAAATCATCCGTTATAGAGACTCCATCTGGATCGGACTTCTTACTTTCTGAAAAAAAATATGCAAGTGTCAGTGTGTCACAGCTCAGCTCGGATAAGGACGCAATACTAAATCATAATGCAAAAAGAAAGGCCTAAATATACCATTGTAGGAGAAGAGAACATGTTGTGACATATAAGTGTCAGCATCAGTTGTTTCTTCAACTCTCACCCTTTTCCTCCTCTTCATGAGTTTCCTTCTCCGCCTTTGACAAGTATATGGCATGGACCTTGAAGTAAACCCTTCTGGAATAGGCTGATTTGAAGCCAAATGTTTTGTTAGATCCCGGGCTGCAATGTTTTTGGCATATTTCGATGCCTGTGACTCGAACTGTTTTATCTTTAGTTCTGCCCATTTACAACGCCACATTATAGGACGTATAAAGCTTCTCCAGTGGCTAGTCAACCGCTTCTTCCTGATAAAACCAGAATCACAAGCAGCTGCAATATATCACTACGAAGAACTACACCACATCCAGCCAAATAGGCAAAAAAATTACTACAATAAACAATTCAGGTAGACTATGGATTATCAGCTAATTTGAAGCAGGAACGTGGCGGTAGTAATCAAATTGAATGACACTATAATCATAACAAGTTAAACACAACGACTGTCACGAAGAACATTAAGAGAAGATAGCATAGTAACCAATTAACATCTCCACGATCGCTAATTCTGATGATCATACCCCAAAGGCAGCCTAAATTTCTTCCTAAAAGAAAAACATACCTCACGCGGAGAACGGTTCCAAAATCATCAAACGGCGAGGAGAATCCGTTAACATCGCTATAGAATTGCGAGTCGACTTCAGTGTCACTGAGTGTAGCAGAATTGTTCTGGTTTGAAGATGTGGTGTCGGCGAATGAAGTTGAGTAATCAGTTTCATCCAAATCAGCTGGTCCAAATTTCGCAGGAGGAAGTTCAGTGAGTTCAACGGCGGCGATGTGGTGGCGGTCGGCCATTGTAGAAGCAGGAAGAGGGAGCAGAGGCAGAGGTTTAGTTTGGTTGTGCAGGGGGCCTTCCATTTTTGAAAGATGGCGGCTTCATGCAACATCAAACCCTCAAAAGAATGTCCCTAGTCACAATTTGGGTGTACCCCTTTCTTAAATACAACCCTCCAATTGATTTATATTTATTTTATAAATTATTTAAATGAAAAACTTTTTTAATTTTAATTTTAATATAAAATTATAAATCATTAATTATATAGTTTTATTTAACAATTTTCGCAAAATGTGGAAGCGTCCCATGTCTTTATAAAAACGTACTTTTCGTTTTAAAACATCCAACAAAATTTAGGCGTTGTTAAGGTCATTTAGACTGTTTATTTTTAGAAGCATTTATGTTTTATTGTCTTTTTATTTGTTAAAAGGTAAATCAATATCTTATTTGCATTTTATTGTTCTCCAAACCCTCAGCAATGACGTTTTTCAATCGATTATTCTCTCAATTGATCCTTACTAAGGGGTTGTTTACTTGCGACTTAATTAAGCTTATTGGTTTATCTGGCTTATTCGCACAACTCATATGGGTTGTTTACTTATGGTTTATTCGCACAGATATAAATTGTGTGTTGTCTTCATTCAGCCACAAAAATGACACCCATACCCCTTATTTAAAGCACCGTCTTCTTCTCATATGAGACACCCCATCTTTTGCCCATTTATGATGTTTTTATTTTAATGTTCAAATAATTAATATTAGGGGGTAAATCGGTCATTTATGTTATTCAGACTGTTAGTTTAGATAAACAACAACACCCATTTATCCGGACAGACAAATTTATTCATACAATACTTAATAAAAAAATTAGTAAACAACCCTAATTGATCCCACCTCTCTCAATTGATGTATTTTAAAAGAATTTATATGTGTTAAATACCGTTAATGACATATTTTCATTTAAATAATGTTAATTATATAATTTAGATGTAAATTTCGTTTAATTGATGATGAATAAATATGTGAAATTGTACAAGTTTATCTATAAATCCAACACTATAATTTTCTAATGAGTAAAATAGACCATTTAAATGAATTCTTACATTTATCAGTTTACAAAAACAAGTAGTCTTATTGATTCGTATTTCAGACTTCAACACCACTTTTTATCAATCAGAATTGAAATAAAAGTTCAGAGTTAAGCACCTCTTAAAAAACAAACGTCGCCTTACTTTAACTAAGGGAACGTAGAAAATCAGCTGATTTAATTAAAACTTGATGATCTATTATAAGATTGGATCCAAAATTTCAACATCTAATATGGATCAATCAGTTTTTGGATGGAATTTTGTAATCTAAGGGGGTGTTTGGGATTGCTTATTTGAAACAACTTATGTTTTTCTATAAAAGAAATAATCAACTTATTATAAGTCAAAAGGGTTTAACTTCTTCAAAAACTCCTTATTACCGATTTGACACCGGTATAAGTTGTTTATCCAAACACTCAAAAATGTTTATTACCGGTACCACACCAAAATAAGTCAATAAGTTGTTTTTATAAGCAATCACAAACACCCCCTAATAAAAACGAATTGGTTTAATCCAATTATCCATTCAATTAAAAATTAATTAATAATCTGTTATCACATATTTCAGTTGATATTTATATATATTTAAAAAAATAGAAAAATATATGAATGAGTAGTTCAAATGGTTGAGTAATATGATTAACAAATAGTAATATCCAACTCAAAGAAGTGGTTCCATTCAATTATCCATTCGATTGGATCAGTTTTTCAATGTTAATAGGATCGAATTAGATCGCAAAATCCAACATCCAACATATAATTACTCGGATCAGATCCACTTAAATTCATTTGATTTCAGCCGATAAATATCAAAAATGATTTATCTTATATAATACAGACAACTTTATCAATACAAACAGATTTATCTATACATATCTTAATGGAAAATGAACCGAATAGCTCTTAGCCTATATTAAAAAAAAAGAGTAAACTGCAAAATTTGGTCCCTATGGTTTATCGAAAAGAACACTTTTTTGTTCTTGTAGTTTTGAAGTTACAAGATGGTCATCGTGGTTTGTGAAATCGTTTTGATATAGTATCTCCATTTAACGATCGTTAAAAATACTGTTAAGTGATAAGTAATTTCATTCTCTTATCCCATCAAAATCAATTTCAGAATCTTGGTCATTGTGGTTTTTTTGATTTGGTAAAAGACAAAGAAACTGTATAAAGAACAAAAATGTTTCTTATATAACAGAAGTTTTCAACGACCATTAGAAGTAGGTCCCAAAGTCGGATGTTTTCGCAAACCACAATGACTATCTTGTAATTTTGAAACTGTAGGGACGAAAAATATTATTTTTTACAAACCACGAGGACCAAATTTGTAGCTCAAGCTAAAAAGAAGTAGGTCTGGTAGTTTGACCCATTTTTTTTGTGGGTACCTGGTTTTCCCTTTCCAGGTCGATGACAAGGATTCCCTGCATAATTAGGTCTTATGATATACCATTTCCACTCGTTAGGGATGGGGACGATGGAATTCCTCACCTTGTCTTGTCTGTAATGTGTGTGTATGTATGTGTGTGTGTGTGTGTATATATATATATATATATATATATATGTTTACAGGCATAATCAAATGAGAATCATTAAAAGGTTGAGAACCGTGATTGTTTTATAGCGTGAAACAACATCGTGCTTTCACATGCATTGCTTCATAATGTGAAACAACACATGAAAAAAGGGTTATCACAATTCTCAATATTGTTGTAGTTTTCATTTTATTAGTCCCGTACACACACATGCACATAGAGAAAGACACACCCACCTAAGCCATTGTTTGACAAAAATAAGTTAGCTTATAAGCTTAAAAACAATTAATAATTAAATTTCAGTTTATATTAATTAATAATTAATATTTAAATTCTATTAATATTTATTCATAATTAATAGTAATAAATAATAATTAATACAATGAGAATATAATTGGAAAAAGTGACAATAAGCTATCAAAACGCTACTTGCTTAAGCTAATAACTAGTTTATCAACCATTAGTTAGCTTATCAGCTAGTTTGTCAAACATAGCCTTGAGAGTGAACATGTACGATACCATGTTTCTTTTTCATATATCATATACCAACCAATTATAATTTGTATACAAAATTTTATATCATGTACCAATCAACTATACTTGGTACCAACTTTTTTTCGGTTGGACACGTCAGCATCGCAAAGTTTTTCCTCCATAAACTCATAGGTATGTCGTCTTCCCCATCTTCTCTGTCTCCTTTTTCTTCACTTCTATGAGAGCTTCAGGTCGAACTAAGGCCGAATCTCGCATTATTTTTCACATATTTGGTATAAATCTCCAATAAAGATTTGTTACAGCCATTGGATGCTATAGTGGTAGATCGCCGTAATGACTCAACAACTTCAAAAACCGACTTCTTAGCTATTTCTCAACTTCCAAAACGGTTTAGACCAAAGGAAATATTGGAAGGCTCAAATAGGTATTTACACGGGTAGAAAGGGGCAGTAACGGGTTTGAAAGATTGACAGATGACTCTAACACCTGTGGTATCAAAACAGCCAACACATTTTATTGCAAAAATCAAAGTGACTATCGTTAAAACAAAAATATTACCACCTATCAAAGTTCAATATATATGATTATATGAATATGTGGTTGTATTTATTTGTGGTACCTGTCTTTGAATGCACAGTACTTGTTAAGTAGATAATTTTTTAAGTAGATAATGTTTATTCACATATACGTTGCTTTTATAAGTAACCAAACACACTATGTAGAGTTTTAACCTCGTATTGTACACGTCATCGCGAAAATAACATGTCCTTTACCTTCGATTTTCACACCAGTAGCATTGAAATCCTCGCCCTTTTTACCCTCACAGAGTGATTGTTGTTGTAATCCAGCTAAATAGAACCATATTAAACGGTAGAAGAATAAAATTTTGTTGTTATTATTTATTTATAAACTGATATGAATATATATATGAAAGAAGCAGTCAATCGTATAATTATAAAGGGCTGTAGATCATATTACGTATCTGAGTACTTACTAATCAGTGATTATTTCCATACCCTTTTTTCAACCATCTACAGTTTTGATGCCACGTACAACCTTATATGTCTGGTAACGTTTATAACATTCTAAAAAATTAAATCAATGAAAATTTTAATTATAAATTAGGTGGTTCTTTGTTTATCTTTTAATAGTTCAATTAAGAGACACCATCTGGATCATTAATAGGTGGATTTTGTTTGGCAAAATAAAAAATATGCCTCTTAATGATTCTAAAACCCTCTGAGTGATTTTGTATCATATGCTTCCCTTAACCATTCAAAGCCCTAATTTCATCGTAAACAATTACCAAACAATTATATTTCATTTTGCACTATATCATTATAGTCTTTTTAATCATTCTGACCACTTAATTATTTTGTATCAAATCATTAGGCAATTATCAAACAAAATAAAATTGAGTTTGCCAAGGGTTTAAACATGTGAATAGTACATCGGTGGAAACGAATTGGAAGTCATTTCATTGGATTTTACCAATCATTTCTTCTATTTTCTTTAATAGAAGTGAATTTTTGGAAACGATCTTAATGTCACTTGCAATCAGGGGCGGATACAGTAACAAAAAGGGGGAAGGGATCTCAATCAAAAAGTCGAAAAAAATCTTGGTTAAAATCTAGTGATTTACCTTTCACTTTCTCCCATTACATTTTTCCACAGGCCCCCACCCTCAATTGAAACCATCACTCCAATAAATAAAAAGCTATTGAAATCAATAAAAAAAAACCAAAAAAGTTATTTGAAATCGACAAAAACACTAAAAAATCCCTCGAAATCAAACACAAAACTTTAAAAATCCCTCGAAACATTGTAATTAGATTAAAAATACATCGGACAATTTTACGGCCTTTAATCTACTTTAAAAATGACCTCATTGAAAAAATTATGAATCTACCGGTACTTGCAAGAGTCCTAAATGTCCCAACATTCATAACGACTTTGGAATTTTTAAATACTACGGAGCAAACTCTCGTGCAACAGCCACTTAAATTCTGGGATGATGTTA